TCCGGACGGAGGACTGGGTGGAGGAGTCTACGGGGAAAAGGGGGTCTGAGTCCTGTTCAAGAGCGAGATACTGAGTGCGACGAACTTTCGTCCTACCGCAGTATGAAACCTTGGTGTTCTTACCGGGGTCATTCGGTTTTCATGAAATACGCTTCTTGGGACCCTGTAGCCCAGAGTTCAACGTCAAATCCGTCAAGAAAGCAGGCACCAGTTTGACCCATAGGTTTAAGTTCTTCGGCGGCAAGCAAGCGCAAATAAGCTACTACATAGCAAAGGATAATACAGTGGGAACATTAAGGTCAGAATACAAAGTAACCACAAAACTTTCTGGGACGGTGGGCCTTGGCCAAATGGTCAATGTACCTGAGGAAGGCCATGAGAGCTCAGTGCTTGCGGACTCCAGGGAAGCCCTCGAACTTAAACAGAAAGGTACTCTAGCACTCTAGGACTTTACATGAAGGTCTTGTCAAATTCTGTATTTCTTAACGGAAACCTGGGACCTTGAAAAAGAGCATGAAGTCCCGGGATTAGGCACTGGTAGTTGCCGAGATAATATCTTCTGCGGCTCACGACGGTGTGTGTGTGTGTGTCTGCAAGTGTAGAAAAAACCTATGCATGTACAAATTATGCGGGTATGAAGGAGTGACTAAACTTGCGAATGAATGAACGGATCAATGCAAGTATACATCCATGAACTAAGACATTAACGAGTTGATGAACGAATAGTTGGGTGAATGAAACGAAACTAACAAACTGCATGGCCGAGCGCATGCAACACGCGGCAGCTGAAGGCCTGTGTAGAGATACAGTGCGTACATACATGCATGCATACAGACATTACATTACATTACGACGTGCATACAGGCCTACCTGGCTGGCTGCCTACCGCCCGTCCATCCAAAGATACTCGATGGGCAATTGTCCACATCCAAGGAGGTGAAGGACTCTTTGCTTCCAGCTTCGACTTGCTGGCCTTTCCGGTGCTTTGCTAACGAGAAGAAGGATGCATGGCAAATAAGATGATTTGCTTCTTTAAGGTCCCTGAAACAATCCTCTTTGGCGAGAACCTAGTTTCTGCCGCTCAGCCGCAAGATGTGGACCAGAATCCACGACAGTGCCTGCAAGGCTTGGGAGGGCAATCGCACGGTTAAGGGTTTAGACTTTACGGCAAGGGCTTAGTGTTTGCGCTGTCACAACTTGCCTGGCTTGTCCGAGTTGTGAAAGGGCTTAGGGTTTAGGGTTATAGTCGTTTAACCTTGAGGATTTCAAGTTTTCCTTAAACCCATTAAGCCTTACTTCAAGGCTTAGGGGACTTCACTTGGTTCAGTGGGGGCACCTATGAGACGGCTTCGATGCGGATGTTTACAAATGCTTAAACCACCGTTTAAAACCTTCTTAGTAAGACCCCCGACAACGCGGCACAACAAGAGCCCGGATGGCCCTCTTTCACCAACCCTATCTCACACACCATAAAACCCTGCCAATCCGATAAAGCACTGTGAAGCACAATGAGAACCCCAAAAACCCTTCGTCAACCTTCAACCGTGGGCCACGCGACCTGCGCCCGAAGCCCGTAGATCCCAGTTTCCAGGCGCGAGGAGGGCCAAGAGCCTCCCGAGGGCACATCCCAAACTCATGTGCGTGTGTGCGCTAGTAGGCAGCCACGTCGAACGGATTCCGAAACGCTTGGGTGTGGGCTTTTTTCCTAACCTCTAATTAAACCCCAAATCTTAAACCCATGTGCCTTCCCTAAACTTTTTCAGCTGCTTGCCAAGCTCCGCGCTTTTCAGGAGAGGTTGAAAATCGCAGATCAACCCCGACAGCTCAACTTAGTCTCAGTTCTCACGACGTACTGGGCGTTGAGGGTTTAGTGCTTTTCGGTTTGTGTTCCTTGGCGTTTAGAGCATGGAGTTCTTTGAAATGTAGAGTTTGGGCTCCTTGTGGTCTAGGCTTTTGCTCGGAGTTTCGTGCGGAGCTGATGGGTAGTCGCCCGCAGTCTGATAAGTAAGGTCAGCTTACTGAAGTAATCCCTCCACCCAAGCCCTAAACTCCAAACCAGTTACCCTGAACCCTAAGCCGGCAAGATACTTGCAAACATACCCATGGCCGCATCTATATGGGCCACGTAATCTGCCTTCTTCGCTGTGCGGACGAAATTCCAGTATGGCTCCAGATTGTCCACAGTCGCCTCATGGTGTTGCGGCAGGCATCCCTGAATTGAAGCCCTAACTGGGGACTGTGTAAAATACCAGAAGGGTTGACCTGACCACCCACTCTTGTACAGGTGAAGGCATGCGTCTAAAAAACAGTTCTATGTTAGGTGGTCCTGGAAGAGTTGCAACCGAGCGGCCGTGAGATTGCCGTAGAGCTCATTCACCTGTCAGGGCTCGGCGCCCTTTTGCAACTGGCTTGCAACGTCACGCCAGGACAGCTGTCCCGGCTCGGCGCCCTAAGCCCTGAACCATAAACCCGTAAACCCTAAGCCGAAAAAAATCCATGTGTACTTTTTCCGAAAGTTTTCAGCAAGCTTAACCTTTTTTTTCGCAGCCCCACTTGAGCTACCTCAAGGGGTTCCTTCTCGTAGGAATTTGGAAGGAAAAGACAATTTAAAATGAAAGTCGAATGATTCAATCAGCAGTGTACTGCAGTTGAGTCATACAGTGGCCTTCATAATTTGCATAGGGTTTTAGGGCACAGTATATAAAGGAACCCTAGGCATCACTATTCAATTGTCACGGCCTCTATACTACGCCAATCCCTGAGGCCAGAACACCCTGAGTTGTAAATTTGCATGCCACACTCATTTTTCGAACCAAGCACAGCGGCATCATTTGCACTACACTACATCAGCTTAAGGATATGCACTTCGAGGCTTGAGAACTCATTTTTTGCTTTGGGATTCACGGGGCCTTCGGCTGTATGAACTTGCAGCCCAGTCGCCTGTGCGGCCCCTTCAAGCTCGAGGATGTTGACCTCTGCAGACGAGTGCCAAGCAGCCCCAAACTTGCTTAACCGTCTTAACCTCTTATCACAAACACTATGAAGCCCTCCATACATGTTAAGCAACCTCTCATTACAAATAATGTGAAGGAAGCCCTCTATACACCTAAAAAAACGTTTCTCAAATCGTGAAAGAAAACAACCTCTAAAATATTGAATGTTTTTTAGTTCTGGGATTTTGGAGCCTGCGGGCAACCAACCGCATGTGCAGGTTCACCAGTATATGGACTGGGGAATTCACGACCTGTAACTGAAATCACCCCACATATGATCCTTCTCAGCATGGCTGCCCCCCAAAACTTCTAGCCAACTCCAAACACTACACGCGACGTGCCTCTACTCCCAAACCGTCAACCCTAAACCCTAAACCCTGAACCCCCTCAAGTCTCAAGTAAACCTTAAAACCCCAAACCCCGAAGCCCACAGCACTGGCGAAGGGGGCACCAGCATCACATGAAGAGCTCCATTGTCTGCCGAGCTGAATCCTCGTCTGCTTGGAGGCTCATGGGTAGTTATAAGTGAGGTTATAAGTAAGGTAACTATAGTTGT